ATATGGAAAATGAAATATATTCACAATGAATATTACTTAGCCTTAAAAAAGCAGGAAAAATCATGTCATTTGTGACAACAGGGATGAATCTGGAGGACATCACATTAACTGAAATAAGACAGTTCACAGAGAGATAAATGTTGCAGGATATTACTAATATGTGGAATGTAAAAAGGTTGAACTAACAGAAACAGTAAAAAGATGTTTACCTGAGGCTTGGAGTGGCAGGATTGAGGAGATATTGGTCAATCACATAAAATGTTAGTTAGACAAGAGGAATAAGTTCAAGAGATCTGTTGTACATGATGGCGACTACAGTTAATTATACTTTATTGTATATTTGAAAATGGCTGAGAATAGATTTTAAGCATTTTCACAAAAATAATGTCTGAAATAATTTAAATATTAAATAGCTTCATTTAGCCATTTAACAATGTCTACATATATTAAAACATTATGTTTTATGCCATAAATATATACAATTTTTACTTAACTAAAAATTAAAAAAGAAAAGAATAAGAAAGGGGAATGACATATTCATTTAGAATATGCATAGGAAGGTAACTGGGAGAACCCAATTAAAAAGGTTTAATCAACCCTCTTTTTTTTTTTAGTTCTTTGATACTTAAAAATTTTTTTTTAAATTGCATTTTAGGTTTTGGGGTACATGTGAAGAACATGCAAGATTGTTGCATAGGTACACACGTGGCAGTGTGATTTGCTGCCTTCCTCCCCATCACCTATATCTGGCATTTCTCCCCAACTCCCCACCCCCCCACTGTCCCTCCCCTATTTCCCCCCCGACAGACCCCAGTGTGTGATGCTCCCCTCCCTGTGTCCATGTGTTCTCATTGTTCAACACCTGCCTCTGAGTGAGAACATGCGTCAACCCTCTTTTCAAGTGTAACATTTCACTGTCTTCCTTTTGAGTTCTAGGTTAATTTTATAAATGACAGAAGGTATGAAAATTCAGTTACAAACTTCCCCACAAATGCCCACAATGTTGGCATTCCAGACATTGTGCCTAGCACAATGTACACAGATAATTGATTAATTATGTTCTGATGTGACCTGACCTGGATAGGTTGACATGCAAAATGCTAACCAGAGAGCTTTATTCTTCTTCTCCAGCATTTAGAGTTGTCTTTCCCACTTCCTTCCATCTGTAGTTTTGCTTTCCAGTTTCTTCTTTTTTTTTTTTAATTTTTTATTGGATTTTAGGTTTTGGGGTACATGAGCAGAGCATGGAAGACCGTTGCGTAGGTACACACGTGGCAGTGTGCTTTGCTTTCCTTTTCCCCTTTACCCACATTTGGCATTTCTCCCCAGGCTATCCCTCCCCATCTCCCCCTCCCACTGGCCCTCCCCTTTTCCCCCCAATAGACCCCAGTGTTTAGTACTCCCCTTTCTGTGTCCATGTGTTCTCATTTTTCATCACCCGCCTATGAGTGAGAATATGCGGTGTTTCATTTTCTGTTCTTGTGTCAGTTTGCTGAGGATGACGTTCTCCAGATTCATCCATGTCCCTACAAACAACACAAACTCACCATTTCTGATTGCTGCATAATATTCCATGGTGTATATGTGCCACATTTTTCCAATCCAGTCTATTATCAATGGGAATTTGGGTTGATTCCAGGTCTTTGCTATTGTAAACAGCGCTGCAATGAACATTCGTGTACATGTGTCCTTATAGTAGAACGATTTATAGTCTTTTGGATATATACCCAGTAATGGGATTGCTGGGTCAAATGGAATTTCTATTTCTAAGGCCTTGAGGAATCACCACACTGTCTTCCACAATGGTTGAACTAATTTACACTCCCACCAACAGTGTAAAAGTGTTCCTTTTTCTCCACATCCTCTCCAGCATCTGTTGTCTCCAGATTTTTTAATGATCGCCATTCTAACTGGCGTGAGATGGTATCTCGATGTGGTTTTGATTTGCATCTCTCTGATGACCAGTGACAATGAGCATTTTTTCATATGATTGTTGGCCTCATATATGTCTTCTTTCGTAAAGTGTCTGTTCATATCCTTTGCCCACTTTTGAATGCGCTTGTTTGTTTTTTTCCTATAAATCTGTTTGAGTTCTTTGTAAATTCTGGATATCAGCCCTTTGTCAGATGGGTAGACTGCGAAAATTTTTTACCATTCTGTTGGTTGCCGATCCACTCTAGTGACTGTTTCTTTTGCCGTGCAGAAGCTGTGGAGTTTGATTAGGTCCCATTTGTCTATTTTGGCTTTTGTTGCCAATGCTTTTGGTATTTTGTTCATGACGTCCTTGCCTACTCCTATGTCCTGGATGGTTTTGCCTAGATTTCCTTCTAGGGTTTTTATGGTGCCAGGTCTTATGTTTAAGTCTTTAATCCATCTGGAGTTAATTTTAGTGTAAGGTGTCAGGAAGGGGTCCAGTTTCTGCTTTCTGCACATGGCTAGCCAGTTTTCCCAACACCATTTGTTAAACAGGGAATCCTTTCCCCATTGCTTGTTTTTGTCAGGCTTATCAAAGATTGTATGGTTGTAGATATGTTGTGTTGCCTCCGGTGCCTCTGTTTTGTTCCATTGGTCTGTATCTCTGTTTTGGTAGCAGTACCATGCTGTTTTGATTACTGTAGCCTTGTAGTATAGTTTGAAATCTGGTAGTGTGATGCCCCCCGCTGTGTTCTTTTTGCTTAGAAATGACTTGGCGATGCGGGCTCTCTTTTGGTTCCATATGATTGCTTTCCAGTTTCAACTGCCACCTGATCATATTAAATAGAAAATCAGGAAATAACAATTCATACGTTTAAAATTGCCTGACATTGTGAGTATTATGACAAAATATCTTGTCATCTTACTCTGTCCTGTCTGGGATATGAATTATCCCTCTGTCCAGTGTATCCACACTGTATAACATTTTAAGCTTCTGAAATTCAACTGTAGACATCATCATAGCTTGATGTTCCAAGATCACCCCAAGCAGATGATTCTTTTTCTGGCCATCAGAAAACCAGTAGTAGCCAAATGTTATGTTATAATGCCTGTGTCATTCACCTCATTTCATCTCATCACATAGGTATTATATCATCTCACATGATTATGAGAAGAAGAGTGAGGAGTGAGTACTGTACAATAAGATATTTTGAGAGAGAGAGAGAGACCACATTCATATAACTTTTATTATAGTGTATTGTTTTAATTGTTCTATTTTATTGCTGCTGTTAATCTCTTACTGTAGCTAATTTTTAAACTAAATTTATTGTAAGTGTGTATGTGCAGGAAAAACACATAATATGTATAGGACTTGATACTATCTATAGTTTCAGGCATCCTCTGGGGGTCTTGGAAGTACTCTCTTTGGATAAGAGCGAATTACTGTACTTAGAAGGTGTATTAGTCCATTCTTAAACAGCCATAAACATACTACCTGAGACTGGGTAATTTATAAACAAAAAAGGTTTAATTGAATCACAGTTCCACATGGCTAGGGAGAGTTACAGTCATGGCAGAAGGTGAAGGGGAAGCAAAGCACATGTTACATTTCTGCAGGCAAGAGAGGGCATGAGAACTCCCACACTTTCATGAGAAAAGCATGCGGGAAAGCATCTCCATGATCCAATCACCTCCCGCTAGTTCCTCTCCCCTGATACTTGGACACACGGGGATGACAATTTGAGATGAGATTTGGGTGGGGACACAGAGCCAAACCAAATTGAAGCAAGGCATTTCTAATATACTGTAAAATCCAATGACTGTCCTCAGAATATATAACACTTTGTAGTTCTTCTCCTTATCCTCTTGTGAAATCAGGTTAAAAATGAGGAGTTCCAAAAGCATTTTAAATGGAAAAAGAAGTACCCCCCAATATAGTCCTAATCCAGAAAAATATAAAAAGTGGATCTGAACTATGACAATGGGAGGTTTACATGCCAAATAAGTCTACATGAACCTCATATTCCTTCTCAATGTTATACTTCTGATTATAAAAGGAGCACAGTCTTATTTTGGAAAACAGAGAAAATACTTAAACTAATTAAGAAGAAAATTAGAAAATTCATAATTCTAGAAATCACAGATAAGTTTTTGGTGTATTTGTATTCTTCATTATGCATGTATATATTTTTATAAAATTGAACTCTTATTGTAAATACAAGCTTGAGTCTTGATTTTATCACTTACAGGTATAATGATAAACATTGCCCTTTATTACTAAATATTAATGATTTTAGCATGCTGTGTTTCTGTTTCCAATATTGTTGGAAATTAGATTTTAATCACTTTCATTTTATAAATGTAAGAATCTCACTTACATTTTGTTTTGTTTGACATTCTGTTAATTTTCTGAGGTTATGTTTTTAGAATAAGAATTCTGAAATTAAAGAGTAGAAACCTTTCAAGGTTTTTCATAGACATAACCATATAGCATTCAAAAAGGTTATAACAATTTCTTAGGTCAGTTGAATATCCACAAGCAGATATCCTCACTCTCTTCCTATAGTTGCTAACTAAAATCAGCTTATGATCTGGATCCAGACTGTCCAGCTTATGATCTGAATAAGAACTGTCCCTGGAGCCCTCTGCACCTGGCTGTTTCTCAGGGTGTAAATGAGAAAGTTAAGTTGTTTGGTGTCCACTGTGAATGTCATAAAGGGAAGTGGATTTTACTTGAGGGTTTGAGGTTGAGATGCAAGTACATGAAGAGGTTAACAGCTACCCTGCTACAAAACTATGCTGAGGTAGGAGTAATGCCATAGTAGTGCTATCTGCTCAGTGAATCTGTGAGCAGCAGCCCTCACGAAGGTGTAGGAGGTGGTGAGGAAGGAACAACAAAGACTAGTGTGAGAGCCACCAGCACAAAGGGCTCGTGCAGGCAGGGCTGGTATCAACCAGATGTAATTCTCCATAGACTAGTAGGGCTGGTACAGAGTAGGTGATTAATCAATGAAAGAAAATTCCTGTCCCCTCCCTGGCATGAATGAAAGAAAATGAAAGCAACCAGTTGGGATGTATGGTGCAAAGGAAGTTAGTGCATTAAGTGAGCTATTGTTTGCCATATACTGATACCCAAAACAATAATAAAATGTATTTATTTGAGTAAAATATGTCTTTACGAATATTCCTTACTTAAGGCACCTTTGTTTATCAGCCTTTATTCACAGTATGTATGGGGTGTTCCTAACACTGCAATTGACATGGCTGAGAGCAAATGCTTAAGTAGAGCTAAGTAAACTAGCATTCCTACACTGTAACTTCCACCCAAAATTTTCATATCTTAGTCAAAGCACTTCAGAAAAATGAGCACGAATTGTGAACTTGGGGCAAATATGGCAAAAAAGAAACATTAAGTGCAAAGTGTGGGAATGTAAATACTACAATTCTATGTCATTTAGAGTTCACTGACACAGCAACAGATGGACGCCCAGCCCAGTGCCCCTAAGTCTTCAGCTGGTATCACAGGCTGCTTTACAGACGATGGCATTCCTCAGGGCACCTTTGACATCCTTGTTCCTAAGGGTGTAAATCAAAGGGTTGAGTAAAGGGGTGACAAAGGTGTAGACCAACGCGATTTGGCGGTCCTCGTCCTCTGAGGTGCTGGATCGGGGACGCAGGTACACGAGGCTGCAGCAGCCATACTGCAGCAGGACCACGGTGAGATGGGAGGAGCAGGTGGAGAAGGCCCGGCAGCGGCCCTCGGCAGAACGGATGCGCAGGATGGCGAGGGTGATGAAGACGTAGGAGACACAGATGAGCAGAAAGGGGACTGTCAGCACGAGAATGCTCACGACATAGAGGACAGCCTGGTGCACACGGATGTCAGCACAGGCCAGGCGCAGGACAGGAGGCACATCGCAGAGGAAGTGATTGATTTCCTGGTGGTGGCCGCAGAAGGGCAGGGTGAAGATTAAAACAGTGAGCTGCAAGGAGAGGAAGAAGGCCAGGCCCACGGCCCCACACAGCATCTGAACGCACAGCTGGCGGGTCATGATGAGAGCGTAGTGCAGCGGGTGGCAGATGGCCACATAGCGGTCATAGGCCATGATCGCCAAGAGGAAACAGTCCGTGCTGCCGAGGGTGACAAAGAAGAACATTTGGATCCCACATCCAGCTAACGAAATAGGTTTCTGGGCCCCAAAAATGTTGGCAAGCATTAAGGGGACCACCACGGTGGTGTAGCAGATTTCCAGGAAAGACAGTTTGGCCAGGAAAAAATACATCGGGGTGTGGAGGGCGCTGTGTGTGCACACCACGCAGATGATGGCTGTGTTGCCACAGAGGATCATCAAGTAGAGGAGGAGGAAGAGAAGGAAGAGAAGAACCTGAAATTCGGGGACTGTGGTGAACACACGGAACACAAACTCAGTGGGGTCAGACTGGTTGAAGACAGTTTTCCGCACAAGCATGTCTTGTGCAAAAGGTTAGGAAGCCCTGAGCTCTTCTTGGTTGAGCTGCTTTATTGCTTGAATAAAAGCAGGAGTGTACAATTTTATTTGGAAGTACCTATTTAGTAGCTAGTTTCCAATCACAGTACATGTGAATGAATTCACGATAGAGGATTTGGTATACTTTTTCTTGGAAATCTTCACGAATGGGATAGATGGTCATCTGTAGAAGTTCCTGGGGGCAAGACATATAGACACATGTAGATGTTCCTTGTGAAAATATCTTCCCCCCAACCCTCTGGTATTTTCAATCCAACTGACAAGACCTAATTATTTTCTTGTATTTAATTACAGTGAAGAATTGTAGGGTTGCACATATTGAAAATTAGATAAATGAATTTGTTGTTTACTTTTTTTGGTAAGCATTCTCATTGAAATATAACTGACATGTGGAGGAATTCATAAATCCTAAATGTGCAGCTTGATTGATTTATTTTAACATTGTAAATATGCCAGTATTACCACTACAAAGATTAAGAAACAGAATAATTCCAGTGACCTACAAACATCCTTCATGTCTCTTCTTAGTCTGTATGCCTCACAAAAGTAATGACTTTTTGACTTTTATCATTGCAGATTGATATAACTATATTTCAACTAATATATGAAATGATAAAGCATGTACTTTGTCGTAACTGGCTTCAACATTATGTCTCCAAATGTTATTCTTGTTGTTCTGAAGCAATCCTTTGTTCTTTCCATTGCTTTATGGCTATACTGGAAGTGATTCACTTTACATTCAGTTATTTTGACTCCACCTACACCTAGGAAAACACCCATTGTTACAACCTTTTCTGATATGTACTCTTCATATATTTCCTCTCTTTTGAACATTTTATCTAAATTTCTAACAGGAAGCTGAACTTTTGGACTCAAATAGATTCACATGAAAGGGAAGTGAACAGAGTCAGGTTAAAATTAAAGTGGAGCTTCCTGAGATAAGAAAAGACAATGAGGAAACCAAAAATGCAATAGCACAATTGAATTATTCATTAATATAATCAAGAGAAATAAGAGCTATGTAAGCATCTGGGAAGTTAAACATATCTGTGAATTAAGCACTTTCAGGTTAGACTACAACTGTTTTAATACAAACATTTAAGAGACAATACAAAATATCTACAGAGTTAAAAAAAAATTGGGGTGAAAGAATTCTATACCAAAGCCTTAGTGATTTATGTTCTAAAGCAACATAAAGACTTTCTCAGATTTGCCAAGGCTTAGGAAGTATTTCATTCTAAATACAATTTTAAAAATTCCTCAAGAAAGACTATGAGTTGCTGCATGGGTAATCAGATTAATCAGAATATATACTTTAAGATTGGGTAAGTTGTAATGTAAAATAATATGTTTTGAAAAAGCAAATAATACAATATAATATATTTAATATTAAATAGTGAAAATATTTTAAAAATAAAAAAAATTGCTAAGAATAATTTTTAAAGATGTGCCTAATATAAAATGAAAAGACTAAAATAATTATGTATATTTACAACCACTATTTATATAATTATATAATATTGATAGGGAGGGATGGGAGAAATGAAAATATGCCAACATCCTAAACCTATGTACAAAAAGACTCAATAAATATTTTGTTTAATGTGATTAATTAGAGAAATTAGTCACAACCATATATATCCAAACACATATTTCAAACATATTTCTGAACAATAATCAATAGAATAAAAACCAGCCTATGCACTCCAAATGATTAGAAGATTTAAAAAAATGTAAATATAGTGTGGAGAACAAAAGAATAAGAGAATAATTTTTAAAGATGTGTGTAATATAAAATGTAAAAACTAAAAGACTGGAACAAAAGAAAATGTGAGCAAGCCTAAAAAATAAAATAGGTTAAACCAAGAAAAGTAAACACTTATGAAAATAAATCTAAATGGGGTTTATGTTCTAGCAGAGACAGTCTCGCATTCACAAATGAAAAAAATTCAGTGAAGTATAAATATAGTGATATCGAAAGGCTAGCATCACTGTTGTTTAGCATTGTATTTTAGAACTTAACCAATGCAATAAAATTTAAAAAGATGTAGATTTGATTACTGAAAACACAGCAGAATAAATTGAAGAAGTTATGACCAATAAAATATTCTGCACGGTGTTTAGTTTCAAATGAAATGCAATAGAGAGTCTTTTAACTAATCTTCACTTAACTGATGTATCTGATGAACCAATACTCCTCATTTCCTCTGTACAACATACTATATGCTAAACATGACACTTTGAACACAAGAGATCTGAGCTTGCTCTCCACTATATCTAAATATTCCTATACCCAAAGTTGACTTGCATGTACATAAGTGGTTGGATTTTGCACAGCCTGCTTATATCATGTGCATTTATTTTTGTACTTATGTAATTTTATTAAATATTACAAAATCCAATAAAGTGTTATTGTGAATATAAATATATTTAATAAAAATTAATACTTAAATGCTTGAGAAATACTTGATAATTACAAGTTGCTAATAATTGTGGTAGAGTAAGGTGTGCACCAGAAAGTAATAATATCTTGAATAATTTTATATTTATATTTGATATGAGTCTAATTTTTCACTTTATGTTAAAAAAAAGCACTAAAACTTGAATTAATACGTGATCCAGGCAAGAAAGGTTTTTTACTTCAGGTAATACAAACTCAGTGTAAGGCACTTGACTCTATATCAAAAGGTTGATGAATACATATCTATTTGTATCATTTAAATCAAAGTAAAATCATTAAAGCAATTATGTAATTTATGCTTTGAATCACAGGATATTCTTTCTTTCTTTTTTAAATCAATGATACTGTTAGAAAATGTCTTCTCCCCAGGAACAACCGAAGTGAATGAATGAATAAATGATAAATAACACACCAGTGAAGAAACAATAAATAACAAGTAGGATGATTTGAAGAAAATGACTAAATTTTACACATACATGCCTGGGTGGAAAACTCAGTATTTTGATGTTAGTTGACTCTGAAATAATGTATGGATTCCATTCAAATCCTATCAAAATCCCTAGAAGAACAAACAAGTAAAAATACAAAAGTATATTGAAATGAGTGAAACAACAGAGTGAAACTAGTATCACATGACATTAAGATATGTAACAAATAATTATGTTATAAAATATGTTCTATATTATCGTGTCTTAAAATGGTACTTGTGGAGCACTAGAGCTCCCAAATAACTGAGCAGAAAGACTCAGTACTAATGGCTAGCTGTTCTATTGCACTTACAGTGTCAGACACTACTCTATGCACTTTACATTTATTACGTCATTTCATAATGGCCCTCTATAAAGAGCCTTTTATAACTACTTTATAGATAAAGAAATGGATGCACAGAGAAGTTAATTATCTTGCCCAAGATTACACAGATTGTAAGTGTTGGAATGGGAATTTAAGCATTAGAAGACTGGCTCCAGGGTCTCTTGTCTTCATCACTTGATTATAACATATTGTCTCTATCTGTAATGTGCATGAGTTTCATTATCTGTGAAATAGAACTGAAAATATACTTACCTACCTTCTCAGGTTGTTATGAGACTTGAACAAATTATTCTGTGAAAGTATTTAGAACAATCTAGGCACAGAGTACACATTCAATGTGAAGTGTTTTAAGTATTTTACTATTTCAAATCAATTAGAAAGGATAAATTTCCTAATACAGGATTAGGACAATGAGGGAATTGTTTTTGAAATTAACTCTCTAATGTATAAACATATTGGATCCTTACAGAAAATTTATAAAGATTAAATGTTTCAAAATTTATTTCTAATGGAATTTGGTTTTAAATATTTTAAAAAGTAAAAGAAAACTAGAAGATAGTGTAGATGAATGTTACTCAGATTTCAGGTTAGATAAACATTTATAACCAAATGAGCAAAAGGTAGAGTCAAAATAATGTTGATATTGCAACAGAATAAAAATTTTAACGTTTTGTAGGCAACAACACAATAAGCAAATTGAAGAGCAAGTGAACTTTTACAATTCAGATAAAAAACATCGGAAAAACAAATAATGGAAATTGAAAAAAAGAAACATGCAAAAGCAAACAAACATATCCAAATTAAATTTTGTTAATATTCAAATAAACATAAAATTAAACAAAATGGGATACTATTTTCTGTTTATAAACTAATAGCAATAGAAAAATGATAATTTTTTGTGTTATTAAAGTTGCAAGGAGAGGCGGGATACGGTGGCTCACACCTGTAATCCCAGCAGTTTGGGAGGCCTAGGTGGGCAGTTCACGAGGTCAAGAGATCGAGATCATCCTGGCCAACATGGTTAAACCCTGTCTCTACTAGAAATACAAAATTAGCTGGGTGTGGTGGCACGCGCCTGTAGTTCCAGATACTCAGGAGGCTGAGGCAGGAGAATTGCTTGAACCCAAGATGTGGAGGTTGCAGAGCCGAGATTGTGCCACTGCACTTCAGCCTGGAGACAGAGCGAGACTGTCTCAAAGAAAAAAAAGTTGCAAGGAGAGATGTATTCCCAAATGTGCTGGTGGAAGTATACATTGCTATCAAAATTTGTGAAATGCAATTTGGTAACACAGTGAAAGACTTGAAGAAATGCATACACTTTGATTCAGCAATATTGCTTTTAGGAATTTATTCTTAGAAACTAAACATGCATAAAATTATTGACAAGAATGTTTGTCACTGTTTTCATTATAATGGTAAAAAATTATATCAACCTAAATGTCAATAATTGGAGAATGCATAAATTAACTGTAGTCTGTTCATTTTGTGGAACAGTGTGTAATTGTTCAAAAATGACATTGTAGAAAAATAAGCAGAATGGGAAGGCTCATGAAGAAGCAGGTTATAAACAGGATTATATCAGGATTTCATTTAAAAAATAAATTGTATTTATTCATAAAAAATAGAACCTACTTCAAAATATTAACAATGGGTATTGCTTGGTTAGTGGGATTATGGATCTTTTTGGCAAAGGCTTGTGATATTCTGTATTTACAAATTTTATAAGCATATACAATTTTGCAATCGTGACAAATTAAAAGTCTACTTTTATCCTTTTTTATCTGATCTAGTGTCGGGAAGGAAGGAAGGATGGTAGAGTGTCAGTCACATGGATATTGTAGTTGGATATGGGTGTG